CAAGAACACATTTCCAGAAGGTAAGGGATAAAAATAGTAGTGCTCTACCTTCATCTCCTAAGGAGCCCTGGTGGCCTGGTGGGTTTCCTGTTGAAGTGCTACTACCAAGAGGTTCTCGCAGTTCAAAATCCACCAGCCACTCTTGGGGGTGCAGAGGTGGAATACGATGCTTTAAGAAGGCTTTTTACTCCAGTAAAGTTACAGTCTCAGAAACTCACAGGGGCAATTCTACTTGGTCCTATAGAGTTTCTATGAGTCAGGACTGACTCAGTGACATTGAGTTATTTTTGGGTTTTTTTTAATCTCCATCTCTTAACCTGACTCCTGGAAAGAATGCCAGGCAGGTTCTTCAAAAGCAAGAGCCATTCCGCCCCATCCTTGTTCAGAAACCTGTTTTTGTGTGTGTTTTTTTACACTGGAGCCCAGGGAAAACGGAGTCCGGAGCAGGGCCAGAGGCAAGAAGCAGCCAGGAGAGCCCCACTCTCCATCCAGCCTGACCCTAGTCACCCCGGAAGGGGGATCATCAAGTTCTAGGGGGTCCACTTCGGAAATCAAGTGTCCCACAGCACCTTCGCATCGTGGATGACGACCAAGCCCACACCAGTCCATCCTCCTAAGCACAGAACCTGTCTAGTACGCGGGGGGGGGGGGTGTCGGGAATGCCTTGATCGTTTCTAGAAGGTCCAGGGGGCCGCTGTGGAAGAGTCCTCGTACCCTCCCCGCAGACGAACGCCGTGTGCGTCAGAGAAAATTACGTGAGACCTCAACGGCACGGACAAGAGCGGGTGGCCCAGTGAGCAAGCACCGCGGACACAATCGCCAGGGTCCCCGGGAGGCCTCCCCGCGAACCCACGAAGCCCCTTTCGGCTCCCCGCAACCTCGGCCCGGGGAGAGCAGAGAAGGGACGGCGGAGTCCACGCCCTTTCCGCCGACCCCTGCTGGTGGCGCGGGAATCTAGCCCGGTCCTCAGTCCCACCGCCCCTTCCCTCCATCCCGCCACTCACCTGTCCCCACTCGGAGGAGGCTACCTACACCGCTGCCTCTAGGATTTCGATTCCTCTCGGCAAAATGGCGACGGGCGTGGAGGCGGGCACAGCAA